CCCCAGTTTAAAAAAAAAAAAAAAAAGAGAGAGAAAGAGAGAAAACTGAGAGGTCACTCATTCTGTCACTGGTGTGTGGCAGTTCTGTGCTGTAGCTGAGCATGTTGCCAAAGCCACCTACTCCATGAGTACAGAATGTTTTTTTACTATGGCCCAGTTTGCACTAGAAGTGGTTTCCTAATCCACTGTTCTCTGTGGCTGCCATCTCTGCTGTCTGAGCTATCTTCCTTTTCAGTGAAAAATCATATGTACAGCTTAGTGGCAGTCTCAGCCTGCTTCTTGCTGGTAAATAAGCAGGGGTCCAGAAACAGGTTTCCCCATATTTTAAGCTGTCTCTGTTATGTTTAGCCCAAATTCATACAACTTCCTTAAAAACTTTTTGGGATCTCTAGGAATCTGACTGGAATTCACTCCATCCCTATAAGGCCATGTACATGTTTCCTTTTGAGACATAACTTTCTACTTTTTTTTTTTTTTGGTATTAGGTATCAAACTCAGTACCTTTGCTTGAGAGGCAGGGGCAGCACCACTGAACTAAATCCCCTGCCCCTCAGACCTTTCTACTTTAAACTGAGAATGAGATTGCTGTGGGACAATACCCTTAAAATTCAGAGGTGCGGACCGGAGATTTAGCTCAGTTGTTCCACTGCCTGCCTTGCGAGCAGCAGGTCCAGAGTTCAATCCCCTATACCAAAAAAAAAAAAAATCATAGGAACACTTTTACCCAGTTGAGCAGTCTACTATGTACCACATTCAATTTTTAGAAATACCCAACACTCAGTTAAAGGAGGAAAGATTTATTTGGCTTACAGTTCATAAAAGTGCCACTCCATAGTCAGCTGGCTCCAAGGCAGGAGGGCATGGCAGAAAGCAACACAGAGGAGAATCAGTCCATTGCAAAGCAGGGTAGGCAGCAAGCAGCAAACAAATGACAATAGCCCTCTTTCTGTGCCTTTTATTTTATCCAAGCTACGTGCCCTTAGGATGGGTAGCTCATACTCCCAGTGTAGAGCACCCTTAATCCTACCCAGAACTGTGCTAACGCAATCAGTGAAGTAATTTATTAATCACATACCCTGAATCCCAGCAGCACACACCCTAGACACATCCAACCATCTCCAAAAAGCCCCACCTATAACTGCATGAGGCTTTGGGGGGACATCTAGATATAAGCTATAAGAGCAACTAAAGCCAGTTGATATTTTTGGCATTCTGCCTGGAAATCTTATCTAGATCCCTAAATTTATTAGATGTCATATATTGCAGACATTGAAGTATATCTTTCAAGTTACTACAGGAAGCAGTTTATCCAGTTGTTACACTATCTTATGAAACCAGTGTGTTCTTTTTCAGTCCTCTAATATCAATTTTTCTACCTTTGTCACTAACCCCCACAATTCAGACTGAAAGCCATTGGCACACAGTTAGGCTTTTGTTGTAGTAGCACTTTTAGATGTACCAATTGCTGTATCACATATCTATTGGCTGCATAACAGACCACCCTATATTTTAATGAATTGAAACAACCACTTTATCTCTTACTGCTGTACAAATTGACTGGATAGTTCTTCTGTCCAGGGCCATAACTTAGGCAAGCCTAAGCTTGTTAGTTGCATAATTATCAGGCTTTGCTTTTGTCATATTTGTTGACACAAGTCACATGGACAAACCTAGAGTTAATGTGGAGAAGATTACACAGGACCATGGAAATCAAGAGACATGACTTATGTAGGGCCTTTTGTAATGTTAGATGCCAGTGGATTTCCAACTCTGCATTACTATGTGTCCTTGAAAAGTCATTTTAGGCTGGGGATTTAGCTCAGTGGCTCTGCTACCTGCCTCACAAGCACAAGGACCTGAGTTCGATCCCCAGTACCAAAAACAAAAAAGTCATTTTACTTGGACACACCCATTTTCTCACCTATAAGAAGGGGTTAGTAATACCCATTATAGAGTTGTTATGAGGTTTTTAATTTTTAATTATTGGATTTTTTTGTGATTATAAAGCGAATACTTTTGTCATTGTACAAATGTACAAACTATAAGAAAACTATAAAAAGAGAACAAACATCTGAAATCCCATCTGAAACAGTACTATAAGCTCCTCAGGGCCTTTTCTATATTAATTGTTACCATATGCATGTATATATATGTAAAAAATTTCCTTTGTTCAGTAAGCTAAGTCCTTGAAGGAAGAGACTTCACTTTATTCATTGTCTCTTGAATCCCATAACTTAGTACTTAGTCTAGTGTCTGGCATGGATTATATTTCCACTTAAATTGGTATTTCATTAGATACAATCAGAGATTCTCAAGAATCTTGAAGTTATAAGACAGCAAAGTATCTAAATGGAACTGTGGAGGTTAACTCTGCTCTGGCCAACTTCTCTCTAGGACATCCCAGTAACTTGTGGGGTATAGAGAGTGAGGAACATTTACAGAGAAAGTTGTCAGAATTTGCTTCTAGATCTGAAACTACTCAACGGAGAGATCTCTCTTAAAAGTTTCATTCATTAAAAAGAAATAATCTCCCCTGAAAGAATGTAGGAAATATTTTTTTGTTGTTGTTGAAAACTGAAGGCTGACGATACTGATAAAATTATATTCTTCAAGCTTTTATTTTTTTTTTTTTTGTACCAGAGATCGAACTCAGGTCCTTGTGCTTGTGAGGCAGGCGCTGAAACCACTGAGCTAAAATCCCCGGCCTGATAAAATTATATTCTTGATACTCAAACAAGTCTTACCTTTATGTTTTAGTCAAAGAAGTTTGGCAGAGATCACAGAACTTATCCATACCGCTCTCCTTGTGCATCGTGGGATAGTAAATTTAAGCGAATTGAAGTCTTCTGATGGACCACTGAAGGACATGCAGTTTGGAAATAAAATAGCTATCCTGAGCGGAGACTTTCTTCTAGCAAATGCCTGCAATGGCCTAGCTCTGCTACAGAACACCAAGGTAAAAATGGACAGGGCTTGCTTGTACCTAGATAGCATTCAGGTCTCTGTACTTTCTGCCTAATTTCCCTTTCATAGATGCTCAGTAAAACCTTGATGAAGATGGCAGGTAAAAGTGATAAATGCTAGGAAAGAGTTTTAAACTTAATATCTATTTTTTCCTCATTGTGGATGAAATTATTTAATTATAGGATAGTGTTAAATATTCAAAATAAAGAATATATAAATAAATATTATCTATAACTCACTAGCTAGTGGATTAGTTAATAGTTTGATGTATTTCCTTCAGTGTATGTGTTGTTGTTCATTCACATCTTTATAAATAGGAATATTTTTTGTAACATGGGTGAGAGCTTGCTTATGTATAAAATTTCGTTCTGTTTTGTTTCATCCTACCTTTTTTGCCCCCCACCTTATATTATAATGTGGGCTTTTCCCTATGTTAGCATTTTCATACACTTTTTTATAACTTCATAATATTTAATTAGATACTACATCTTTTATTTAACAAATTCCTCGTTCCTCTGCTTCATATTTCTATTATCATAAATAGATTTATACGACATATCTTTATATTAAGTTTTCTCTCTTCCAGATTATTTAAAGTATTTAAGAGAAATACCTAAGGGCTGGAGATGTAACATATTATCAGAGTGCTTGACTAGCACTTATGCAGCCCTCCGTTCAGTTCCTAGCACCACAAAAAAAGAAAAGGAAAGGGAAAAAAATAGTGCCTGAAAGTACTTTACAGAGGTTAAACATTTTAAATATTCTTTTTTTTTTTTTGAGACAGGGTCTTACTATGTAGTTGAGACTGACCTGGAACTCACTATGTAGTCCAGGCTGGTCTCGAACTCACAGTGATCCTCCTGCCTCAGCCTCCCAAGTCCTGGGATTACAGGTGTGAGCCACCCACCACACCCGGCTTAAATATTCTTGATATATCTTGCCAAGCTGCTTTCTAGAAAAGTTACAGAATATTCCTTATATAGCAGAATTAATCTTGACTATAAGGTGGCATTGACATAAATGAGGAAGGAGTGCATTGTTTCTTTCGCGAGTCTTACTGTTCCGTCATTCTTATCTTAAGACTTCATGGCCCAAGATGGTTGCAGTCATGTCTTCACTCCAGTCAGTGGGAAGGAAGGAGGAGGAAAGGCAAAGAGGGGCTCCTTCCCTTGAAATTCAGCTGAGGCCACATCCTAATTTGCAAAAGACAGTCCCAGTGTAGGTTGGCTGTATCTGAGTCCCACATGACTTGGCTTTTGTTCTGGATTTTTTATCTTTTAATAGAGATGTATTGCTAATAATTACATTAGAATAAGCCAAGACAGATTTAAATGATTTCTACTTAGGGCCAGGGATTGAACTCCGTGGTTCTGCCACCTTCCTTGCAAGCACAAGGACCCGAGTTCAGTCCCCAGTACCAAAACAAAAAAAGATTTCTACTTTGTTCTTCTAGTGGAGAAATTCCACTTTGTTCTTCTCTGCCTTAGTGTTTGTCTGGTATAGTCTAATGATATTATGAAGCCTTTATAAAGGGATAATTCTCATTTTAAGGTGTTATTAAATCTGAAAGACAACCAATAATAACTTATCTCTTTCCCACCCCTTTCAAACACAATGTAACTAACACCTAATCAAGCACAGAGTGCAGGGCAATGGCACAACAAAGTGTCTAGGGACAGCTAACACCTTCCTGTATCAGAGGTTAGGGAAAAGTAATATTTGAAACTGCTGCCCCAATTGGCCACTTGGTGTAAAAACCAATTGCGCCATGACCTAGGCATGGCCTGCAAGAGTCGCAAAACTACTAGGTACCAGTCGGAAAACAGGTTTGATGTCTGTAAAACTCTGTCTATGGGAAATTAGGACTAGTCAGTTCTATTGTAGAGCAGATAGAGAGTAGACTGAGCACATTTGCTTGTATTGTATAAATGTGTAACAGTTTTATTTGCTTGACAATACTTTGGTTTTTGCAGTTAACCCATTTGGCAGCTGTAAGCCAATAAAAGTTAAAATGCTTTATTTTTTTAAAAAATCATTAATTTTTGTTTCTCAAGAAAGTTAATAAGAAATGTATAACTTGCACAAAATATTTGTTGACATTTGCTATCAACCATAGAAACCTTTGTGGTATCACTGACCAACCGCATGAAAACAGTCAAATCTGCTGGACAAGTATCAGAAACTACCTCAAAATTTAGTAGTTACATTAAGTAAACTTCTTGAAGATAATGATTTAACACATGCAGCTGCAGAATGTATGTCTCTTCTAAATTAATTTAAGTCATTTCAACTAAAAAGTCCTAACATGCACAGAAGCAAAAAGGAAGCTGTAGTATTCATGCTTGATGGCTCCATGAGCAGAACTTTGCAACAGCTAAGTAATTCGAGTTTTAGTTCAGTATCATCAGGTACTTCAAATATTCAAGTCATTTAAGTTAATTCTAAAATTGATTTAAATTTTTTCTTTCCACCTATTAATGGGATCAAGGTAAAGCTTTTGAATGTGTAGAGCCTTTGCAAGTGAGATTGGAAATTCTCTTTGAAAGTGCAATATTAAAGATGAAGTTATTTTATAATAGCTACACAAGTACAAATTTTGATGAAGCACAGCATTGTGTGGTAAAAAACAATGTCCTTACTACATTAAGAATCTGGAGTAGCTGGAATTATTTGTGGAATTATATAATTTATAATACCATCCAAGTATGCATCAACATCCCTCTCAAACACACTGCCTCAACATTTGCAAATATCTTTATAGGCAAAGTTCCTGATCACAAGATTTGGGAGATGCAGCTAATGTGGATGCAAAAATACATGTCAGCAAAGCAATATGCGTATTGTTTGTGTGACATCAATCAGATTTTAGAAAATCTTAATAAATCATTCTGTGCCCAACAATGGTATTGAACACTATTCTAAATGAGTAGTGACATTTTGTGTAAAATCAAATGGGAATTTTAAATTACAACAAATAGAACACCAAATGAGATTTTTAGGGAAAAAAGTCTTCCATTAGAAAATTTCCCTACAAACCAAGGAAGTATCTAAACAAACGATATACAAAATTAAAATTTTCAAATCTGTAGTCATGATTTTAAATATCACACCTTGCAGAAAGAATCTTTTGGTGGTGGCCCTATGTTCAATAAACTGTACACACAGACACACATAAACAAAGGAAATAAAATCAAGAAGTCATAGATTCTGCAGCATCTAGATTTGGCAAAACAGTCTAAAATCTTAGAGATGATTTATTTGACAAAGTTTGTCTTGGAAAAATATTTGTCAAAGAAACTCTAAAGGAGGCAGAAAGATAGTGCCTATGAAGATACTTGGGCTGAAATATTTACACTGTTCAGAATTTTTAAAATTAGAAACAATTATGTCCTCCTTTTAGCAAATTTGCTTTGAGTTTAGTAAGTACTCAGAACCTATAAAAAGAGCATTTTCCTAATTTGAAATACTATGGTCTTCCAAGAGGAATTGATTAAAGATATCAATAATTTCAAATTAATTAACTATAAAATGCAACTGATGAATATTGCTGGCAATTTTATTTTCAAATACCATATTTTGAAAAACACATCTTTAGGGCTGGGTATGGTGGCATATGCCTGTAATCTCAGCACTCGGAAGGCTGAGCCAGGAGGACCCCTTTGAGTTCAAGGGTAACCTGGACTACATAGTCCAAAGCCAGGCTAAACTACATAGTGAAACCCTGTCTCAAAAAAAAAAAAAGAAAGAAAGGGCTGGGGATTTAGTTCCGTGGTTCCACTGCCTTCTTTGCAAGTGCAAGGACCCGAGTTCGATCCCAGGTACCAAAAAAAAAGGAAAAAGCCAGTAACATAAAATTACAAAAAAAATATATAGTTAAGACATGGGCTACAGTATGTATATCTGCATCAGGAGTAATTAGTCTAAGCCAGGCATGGTAGTCCATGCCTACAGTCCCAGCTATAGCAGGTCACACTAGGAGGGTTGTGAGTTTAAAGCCAGCCTAGGCAACTCAGTGAGACCATCATTTCTCAAAATAAAATTTAAAAATTGACTTGGGATACAGTTCTGTAATAGAGCTCCTGCTTGTCATGTGTAAGGCCCTGGGTTCAATCCCTAGTACCTAAAAAAAAAAAAAAGCTACTTCTACTTGTCATTTTTTAGTGTTCAGATAATCATTACAGACATTCCTTATTTACCAACCAGTTCTGTTCCTATGGCTAAGCCATTAATTGAATTGGTCACTAAATGAGGAAATGTATATAATATGTAGATTACAATATTGAGATAAAGAAATGATTAAAGGAAATTTCAGCTTAATAACTTTGCTTTATGTATACTCTTACATGCAGTACTGTAAGAATAAAAAACTAGAGTATTATATTGTACAGTACAATCAGAAAAAATTATGGTACTATGTAAACAAGGCATACTGTACAAAAAGACACCCAGGCTCTATAAACAAGATGTACAGAACTGTACAAAAAAAAAGATGGGTTTTAAGTCCAAGCAATGGGTGTTAAGTCCAAAATTCATTAAACAGGTAGGTCATTAAACAAGGAACGTTTGTACAGTGGACCCTCAAATTACAATCAGACTGACATATAAACAACTTGGGTTAATTAGGTTAGTGGAAGATTCATCTGCCTCTTTTTGTCTATAGTATGTACCCAGGTAAACATCTAGATCTCAGCTATATTGATTTACAGTCAACTTGAGTTATAACCAGCCCTCAGGAGCCAACCAAATTCATAAGTCAAGGGTCCACTGTATTAAAAAGTTCTTCCTTATTTTACTTTTTCCTATTTTAATATATAAATATATCTTATTTCTTTTGAAATTTTATTTTTAAAAGTAGTTTTTTTTTTACCAGGTGTAGTAATGCATGTCTGTAATCCCAGCACTCAGGAGGCTGAAGCAAGAGGATCACTGCAAATTCAAGTCTAGCCTGGGCTTCATTCTGAACTCAAAGCCAGGCTGAACTACATAGCAAGA